CAAATTAACCAAACTAAAAGTGCCTACTAATCATATAACATACTCGTCAGAGAAATGTTTAACACAAAACGAATGTTATTTTTATTAGTTGTTTAATAAGTGGTTTGTATTATTTTTATTAGTTCAAATAGTATTATCATTTGACAGTTGTTTTTTTAACAGTCGATTTTAAACAAGATCTCTAAGTTTTCTGAATATACTCTTATTATGCAATTCAATAATCTAAAATAAATGACAAATGATTAGACATGTTTATAAAGGATTTATATACTCATTTGTATTCAATACACATATCAAATTTACAAATAATAAAAANCTAAAATAAATGACAAATGATTAGACATGTTTATAAAGGATTTATATACTCATTTGTATTCAATACACATATCAAATTTACAATTAATGTTTAACGTGACATGAATTTAATTATTTTATTTAATAATTTTAAAGTGAACCGAATTTTTGAATTGTGCATATAAAGTGTTTAAGCAATTCGCTAGACAAGTATGACAATTTNTTATAAAGGATTTATATACTCATTTGTATTCAATACACATATCAAATTTACAAATAATAAAAAAATATTTTATTTATAAAATGGGTTTCCTTTCAATTTTAAGCATCAACTCGATTTACTTATGACTTTAAATTTATGTTACTGTTAAATAGTCTATTAAACATTATATTCTAGACTATTATTTGGAAATGTACGAATAACTCAGCCAGTGTAAATGAAAAACTGGCTAAATTTTAAACACAATACAAAATATATATAAGATACGTAGGTGAAATAAAACTATACTCACAAATCCTCATTCGAACATTTCATAAAGGATTATTATTGCTTTGGCTAGTCAGCTGGAATTGTATAGTAGTTTATTACTGTAGTATTAGCTCTTACAATTTTATAGACTCACTAAAATTACATTTTTTTTAACACTCGTTTACAAATAAGTTTCACGCAGGGTACATTTTCTCTAAACCATGAAATTTCCTGATTCAAGATGAAGTATATACTGAAAAATAATCCTTTAGAATCTATAAAAGCATCTCTATAATTCCTAACGCTATAGCTGCGCTTGACATATCTTTCTAAACCGTTTGAGCCAGAGAATCACGTAAAACTACAAGATTAAAAGAGCGCGTGAATAGGCGTATAATGCATGGAATTTAAATTTGTTTTTATCAGTGCAGTCTAGTATTCACGAAATACTTCTTTGGAGAAACTAAATTTAGTTATACTGGAAACATCAATCAGTTCTTGTTGTCATTGTTGTAATTATTGTTATCTACAGCGACAGTAAATTTGTAAAATGTAATTTCCAAATCGGGTAGATATTTTGTTATATATAAATTTTCAGATTCAATATTATGCAAATTGTATAATTGGCTAATTATGCAAGTATATGATATGGTCGTATCTGATAACTTTTGATATAGTAACTATTTTTCTTAACAATTATTACACTTTTGTATTATAATTTGTAACTAAATTATAATATTTAAAAAATATAAAACATCAGTTCTAAAATATATCAAAAAAAGCATTTTATAGAGTAGATTTTAAGCAAAAATTGAGTAGCAAAATTTCTTATTAATTCAATTTTTAGTTTAATTATAGTTTGTGAAAATTTAAATATTCAAGTTTATTATATGTGTTCATTACGTAATATCAAAAATAAGCGTTTATTATTAAAAGGATAGAGGAAACGCAATTTTTTCACACCAAATTTTTACTATAAAATTTATCATCGCTTAAATAATTATCTAATTGAAATGAATAATAATTGAAATTGTAAATAATAATATTATTATACCTCTAGTAATAAGATCTCTTTGGTATTACTTTATCACAAGTCAAAATAAATAGTAGATAATCGAAATTAAGTTCTATTGTTTTTTTGTTAAAGTCTGTCTAAAACTGAATAATAATACATTTAATAATTCAATTATTTTATATTGACCACTTAATATTACACCAAGTTCAGTAATATTTTATTGAAAATGATTATGATTTTTTCATTATTGAATGTATTGCTAATAGATTTATTTATGGCTTATCGTGTTTTATCCAAATCTAAGTGCGATTTATATTTATTCATTGCAACTTATTTAGTTCACTTTAGCGGAACACTTAAAATGAATTAAATGAATTTAGTTTAAATTACAATACTATATTATCAGGTTACTTAAAAGGAGTAACGAAAATATTTTTCACGGATCACGAAAAAGACTTTGAATTTGATATATCACTTCGACAGTGTAAAACAACATTAAATTTTTTGCTTTAAAAAAGTGATATAATATTCTTTTACGAGGAATTTTATCCTAACAACGGAGGGTTCACGTAGATTTATTATCATTAATAAATTGTTTTTCGACTAGTCATTATTAATGTCAAGAAGTAGAAGAGAAATATACTATACTGAAATGCATTAATTTTCAAACTTTACGACCTACAGAAGTGAGTTTGCATGTTCAACAAATAATATGTACACTGTGTTAATACTAAGATAGAACGTCATAACCTAACTAATACTCCATACGTCTATCATAATTTATTATTTTGTCGAAGTTATTACAAATTATATTAAATCTTGAAATAGAATACATGCACATATACTCTGATATTATTATTATAGTACTCATTAAACTTGTAAGTATAATATTTCATAAGGTCAATCTCAGTAGGTATATTTTAATTTAATAAATTTTGTTAAAAAATGTACAAACAATCATAATATTAATCGCAAAACAAAATAATTTTAAAGACGTATGTTTTTAAAAATCAGCATTTGTATTTAAATTTAGTGATAATTTTTTCATAATGTACCAAATAGTTTAAATCACAACTAAAAAGTTCAAACTCTAAGAGGACACATTGAATGTTATGACCAATAGTTTGAAAAAATAAAAAAGTGTCAACAAAAAAGTTACATATATTAGTTATTATAGTTCTTACGCCATGATATTGTCTTAAGGGAAATTAAACTTTAAAACTTGTTACTAGAAATTATCAAATATAAAATCCTGTTTTTTATACTATCGGCAACAAAGAAATTTTTCTTTACTCAGAAATTCAGTACTGTGTGCACAAATTTTTTAAAATCAAATGTTTGCTATTAAATGTTGGTAATTTCTAAACGACGTAATATATATTTAATGTTATTAGTTATGCTTTCATAGCAGTATAAATATTTTTTCTATCGAATTCTAAGTAAAAAAAGTTTAATTTAAGTTTTAATAATCAATGAACAGCTAAGAACTTATAGTAACTTTTATACTAATTATTTTTACGAACTAAGAATTAAACTTTTACTAAGTTGGCAGTCGATTAATGATTAAGTTGTGTAAACATTACTCTCTTATCTTGACCAAAAATCAGAAAAGCTAGGTCTAAAAAATCGAAATCATTAATTATTTTACTCTTTTAAATATGTTACTGTTTTATTTTTAATCTGTTATTTTTTAAGTATCTGGTAAATTTAGATATTGTTTTGTTGAAAAAAGTATTAATTTGTATAACTTATGAAAAATGTTGGATAATTTATATGACAATAAAATACATTTGTGAAATCACTTTACATAAAAAAAAAATGTGATAAATTTGTAAAGATTGTTTAGAGATTTTTATTAATAATAGAAGACTATTTTAATGGCACTTCATCATTTTTAATTTTATTCAAAAAATTTTCTATAAAAAATAGACTTATCAAGTTCCTTGAATTACATACTTACATGATAGTTCTACTTTTTATAATTGAAATAAAGTAATTTAATTTATATTTTTAGTTTAATAGTTTTATTATTATTAATAATTTATACTTACTTTAATCAATTATATTGATTAAGTTTAATTAATAAACTTCCTTTATTCCTAATTAATAATAGAAAATATAACATAATACATTCATGTATCTTATATGTTTTTATTTTTTGAATTACATTAATTGTAAAATACTTTTATCATTACATTTATTGATCATTTTGTTGTGAGTCTTTTAAGTTTAAAAATTATTTAAAGTTAATGAAAAGAATAAAGAAAAATTTTTTTTATTTATTACATACAATGTGTCTTATATAAATACGAAGTTCTGATAAATAGCCATGGAAAAGTATATGGATTTTTTAGATTCTCATGGGATTTAAAAACATAATTTTTTCAACAAAATACTTGTAGTATAGTATAAAGTAAATGAATTATAGGTTTTAATAATATTTCATGAAACTGTGGCGTTTTCATGTTCAATGTATAAATACATAAATATATTCTTAGTACAAAAACCAATACCTTCTCGACTTCGCATAGTTAAAATCTATTGGGGCCATAAAAGATTCTTTATTTAGATATAAGTTTGTATCGCAAGATTCGTGTCAGCTACGATAAATCCCCTGTTTTCAGACCATTGTATTTTAGTGTCCGGCAGACTGGACTAAAACATTTAAAGAGGTTTATTTATACACTTTCTAGTGTAGTCGGTTACATTACTAGCTAAGCTTTTTATCCTTAATGGACGGGTTATGTCTGAATAGGGAAGCCAAGGTTGTTTTATCTAATGCCATGATTTTTGAAAACTAAAATAAGTGCAGGTTAAGGGGTATTCTATTAAATGTTGAGCATATGTTAGATAGAAAGGAAGATTTCAATATATCAAAAGGTATAATAAAACTCTTTCATAAAAATAATATACAAAATTTTATCAGAAAAATTGTAAAACGCATCAAATAATTTTGTTTTTCATAGCCTACATTTAATGGATACTATAAATATATGTATCGACGATGGTGACTTAGTATCATAATTACATATGAACACACTTGTTTCAATTCAAAGTTAGTGAAACAAGACTTTTAAGCTTTTAACTGGTCTAAATATAACCAAGTTTTTTTTATGTCACTGCGCAGTTACTAATGATATAAACTCAAGGATGTTAATGAATGCCAGTGGACGAGTTATCGAGTGTTTAAAAATTATAAATTATATGTAACATTGTACTTACCGGGACAAAATCGTCCTTTCACCTTTATGGACAATGGAGACGGCAATCTTCTCACCAAGTCCACACAATACGTCGATTCCACTATGCTGTCTGAAGATACTGACCTTGGAAACCATTCCAAAATGCCGTTCACGTTGATATTCTTACCATCTCTTTCTTCCTCCCTGTGAACAACACAATCGTTTAAATTATTATTAATCATAGCCCTAATTCCTGACATGGGTGCGTGACCATTCTTTGGTTTTACCCTTTGTCTAATCAAAAATCAATAGGCAGATACTAAAATACAAAAATTATAATAAAAATACTACCTGACAGGAAACTAATTTTAAAATATTTCAAGTAAGATTATCTTTTATATCAGTCAAACAAAAAGTCTGAGTAGTTTTTAAAGATTTAAATTAATTTTTTAGTGGTATATCGACAAAAAAAAAAAGTTTAATCAATATAGTGTCGAAATCGTTAATAATTAAACGGGCGAAATTGCACGCAGCTGTTTTTTTTTTTAATAACCTTCTAAATACCTTCTCAATAAAACATTGTCAAACACTCAATACAAGATAATAGATGAGCTGAAATTTTCTAAGCATAAGCACCATTTAAATTGGAGACTTTGAATAACTTATTAATTTTGAATATTTAGTCACGTGAGACAAAGGTTTAATCTAGTACACACTTGACAGTTGACGTGTTAAATTATGTGCATAGATAATTTATCAACATTCAGCAGAAATCGTGTCAAGACTTTTCAAGATTCGATAGATTGATAAATAACGCAAAAAACTCTGTTTATCAATATTCTAAGGTAATTTTTTTGCTTTGACGAAACCAGATCAAATGGATAAAGCATATTGACTTTTATTGCCATAAAAAAAGAAAATTTATACATATATTTTCTTCTGAATAATTAAAAATAAATAATTTCCATCAAAATAATATATACAATGTAAACGAGAACTGTATCGGTGTTTTAAATATTACATATAAATTATTTAAAATATTTATACTTAATTTATTATTTAAAATAATTTTCTTTTTCCGATATGCATCTAATAAGTTAAGTTTGAAAATAAATGTTAAGATTATTTTGTTAAGCGTTTAATTAAAAGTTTTGTGTAATTGTATGTACGTTATAAGAGATGTCAATTCAAGTTTTATAAAAATGTTCTTTTTTGTTATGATTGTCAATATATTCATCCCACTGTATACTCAATTATTGTTTACGCGACTATGTGCGTGTTTAATTTTGATTAAACAAAAATATTGCTGAGAAAACTAGGTAAACTGGCGAGTAGTGTGAATTATGTTACTATGTAAAAGATACATTAAAATAATATGTTATTATTGACACAACCATTTTTATCTAAAATTACGAATCATACTCTATTTTAAAAATAAGAATTCCTACAAAAGCAACAAATAATTTGTTAAGAAATTAATATGGAACGAATTTTTAATTAGAATGGTAATTAAAATTACAGAGTATTTTGCCTATTTATAGTATAAATCAATTTAGATACAAAGGCTTATCAAAAGATACAAAATGTGCTAAAGGATTCTGGGTTAAACACAGTGTGTCATTAAGTAAATATTTATCCCTTGGATTGTTGACATTTAGCTATTGTATTTTACTGTTCTAATTTTAATTACTATTACGGAAGTGTGTCATGAGTATAACTATTTCATTATAAACAATCGGATAATTTCTATAATTATAAAAATAATTGTAAAATGATGTGCTTAAAATATTAATGAATTTATTAGTCTAATTTCATTAATAACTATAATTAATTATAGTTGAACTTATATAATTAAACAAGTAAATTTGTTACAAAACAAAAAACTATAAATAATTTTCTAATGTAAAAATAAGGCGTTAAAAGTAAAATAAATGGTTATGGCCTGCAAAGTGAAAATGAGTAAAAGTTAAAAGGATTCAAAGTTTTACATAGAAGTCAAACTTTGTAGAAATTGGTGGCTTAAAGTTTAAACTTGAGTTATAAGTAAATTACCTTCCGCAGTGTGATGTATAAGATGCTGATGATCTAATGGGATTTTTTTGTGGTATTATATGCTGCAGAGCATTGATATTATACCCAAATAGTTGTTATTAATATTAAATGACGTCGCTTTTATAATTAATGAAAAACATTTTGTACGCGAGAGCATATTCTTTTTAAAAAATACTGAAATGCCTTTTAATCAGAGTATAACATTTTTTCATATTATTGAAAAATATCATTATTAGATATTAACAAGCTAGTAGAGATTATAGCTTAAACAACTCAAAAAATATTCTTCTTTTAACCATTGAATTTTTAACGTAAATTTTCATGTACGCTAGATTTTTAACAAGTTCAGAAAGGTTAACGAAAATACTTTTAGAATATTAAGAAGAGCTTAGTTAAATAACAAATTGTTTAAAATAAAAAATGTATACTTATGTTTTTGTTAGGTTTAACACAAATTTAAATTAAAAAAATTAAAATTTATAAATAATAATTTTGTTATTACCGAAAGTGTCATTGAGTAGAATATAAGTGATGTTAAATTTTAACAAAACAGATTTATCAAATTTTGAAATCTTATTAAATAGTATTTTACAAATACTAATCAATTTTTATAAAAATGTTGATATCTTAAAAAATAAAGAATAGACTGAAGAATCCTAAGGACGTCATTATAAAAATGTACCCATAGGACATTTTTAGCTAAAATTATTTCACTTAACATAAACACGTAAGAAAAAATCGCTTTCGAAATGTCAAGAGTTGTGCTACAAAAAAAATATTTAAATATTAAGCTTTAGATATTTTCATAAAAATAGATGTCTCTCATTATAAAATTGTGCCTTAAATAATTATTTTACTATTATATCGTTTTATGCAATCTAATTGTTTTCATCTATACGAAAATAGTTTTTCATTGTAAATATAAGTAATCATTAGTAATATATAAATAAATATATTGTTTTATGTAAAAAAAATTATATGTTACGTTTTTCATAAATTAGTATTTTGTCAATCAAATAAAAGACGTATCATTTTAGGAAAGACTTTTAACGGTAGGTTTTTGTTTGAAGCGATCAAAACTTTATTCATATACATTTTAAACATTTAACTAACTTTGTTCTATGTTTCTAAAAAGATTATTTAAAATATATTTTACAAAAAACATCAACAAAACTTTGAACTGCGATTAAAGAAATTCATTTGTAATTTGTAATTTAGAAATAAATTCTTTTAAATAGCCATTAACATTTATTATTGAAAATAATTGAGTCAATTTTTTCGAGAGATATCAAAAACCGTGTCTTTTGTTAAAAAATACCAAAAGAATTTTTTCTCGGCTTATTTGTTTAGCTGGAATTTTATGGAAATTTCGTAAAAATTGAAATATAAATAGTTGTTTAAAGTAAAAATTTAGCAATATCAAATAACATTTTTGATTCTGACTCTATAAAATTATTGTTAAAATTAAAGACATTAAGGACAGTTAATATTTAAAATAATTTTTTATTTTAAATCTTATCATTTATATTTTTATTTGTTCAAAAGACTCAATGAATCTTTTACTTTTTACATTATACGAATAAATTCTGAATTTTAATACAGTAAAATTAAAATTATAGTGTAATACTCTTATAAACAATAATTTATTTTATTTTATATTTTGGTAACTGATTAGATGTACAATTGATATTTATAAACAATATTTTATAATTATGAAAATTTTAAACATTTCGTTTAATTATTGACAATGCTACCAAACAACTTTAAAATTTCAATTCATTAATACTACGATAAATCAAATAGTTAATTATTTTAACCAAGTTATTACTCAAATAATCACATATTATATTATCCTAGAAGTTTTACAATTCGAAAAAGAATTGCTTATAAAAAATTTCAACATTTTAATTGTCAAGTCTTAATTAAATCAGATCGGTGTTATTAAATATTCGATACTTCTGACATATATTGAACATTTGAAATATCTTTAATGATGCATTGTTAAACAATTTTTTTCTTGTTCAATTATCATAATGTTAAATATATTTATTTAATATAAAGATAATTCACATATTACCGTTAATATTAATATTAATATTATCAGTAATATATGAAATTCTGTTCTTTGAACTCACCACCTTGGGATTTGGCCAATTTAAAAGTGATAACAATTATTAATTTGCGTGATTCTATCATTGTAAGATTATAATTATAGGATATTTGATAATAAATGCACTTATTCACTAATATTCACGTTGAAATTTATGATATATGAACTTATTTAATTATAAACTCAATATATTTTAGATAATGTTTCTACAATTATTTTTAATAATCTTAATTATACTACTACTTATTTTTTCATGTCAATTACAAATGCTTATCCAAATGTTAATAATTTTCATGGAAAGAAATAGCGTACTGTTTCTATTAAATAACGTAATAAGTGTTTACTTCTGTACTTTACATAATATGGACTAACATTTGATACAATAGGAAAATTGTAAGAAAAATCAAAATTTAACAAATTTCAAAATGCTGTATAAACGTAACTACTGAATTAAAATAAGAGATTTTGGTATCAAAATTTTTCTTTAAAACTTATCTATAAAATTTTCAAATCTAAAAAAAAAGTTTTAATAAAAAAATTCATTTTTAAAATATTTTTTGTAATTGTGAAAAATAATATAAAACATATTTTAAATATAGTTCTATATTGTAAAAATTGATCAAAAAGAAAGAAAGTATAAAATGTTAGGTAGATCATAAGTTATATGAGTTGTCGGTTAGATCTGTTCAACCCTGTATATATAAAATTTGAAAAAATGAAAAATTTAATAAATATTGAATATTTTTAAAATGGAAATTTTGATATTTATTCCATGTATACTTTTGTAATCTTACCATGTTACTTGGGTTTTTAATAATCTTATTTCAAAAATAATATTACACCAATTAATTAAACAAATTTAAACCAAAGGACCACAATATTTTTTATTAGAAAGCATCTTAACAAGAACGTACAAATCTCTTCTTTGAACCCAAAATTGAGACTAGTATTCTACAATAAATTGTTTTGATAATACTATAGCAATTAAAAATTCGTGTAAATAATAGAGTTCTTAAATCTTACATAACTTTTCTATTGAAAC